CAATCGATATGGACTAACGAACGAAGACTTGAACAGACGGTGGAGCAATCCGGATCAATCGTTACATCCAGTGATCTATCACACGAAGGGCTTGATGGAGTACTGCACAAGGGTCCTACAAAGACCTCCTCATGTCTTCGTAGACTATCACGGCCATTCACGGAGGAAGAACGTGTTTCTCTTCGGTTGTTCAAGGTCGAGTTCTTGGAGCGCCGCGGACAGGGCGAAACCGGACCAGCCGGTGCAGTATTTGGTAAGGGACGAAAGAGGGATCGACGAGGGTATTATTTTTAGACTCTGCGTGTATTCACTGTATATCGATGGATGCGCGTGCTTCTCGTAAATCAACGCATCGACGTCTCTCGGACGTCTTTGAAATTCTTCTTTTAAAGACTAACAATCAATTGAAAAAACTAACAAACTAAAATCACCATATATCATCCTTTAAGGATTACCCTTATTATTTATTAAAAGGAATAAAAGAAAAGTAAATGGCAGATTTATAATCATTACCTTTTACAATTTTTAACTATAGATTTATTCGAATCTTCTTTTTTTCATTATTCGAATATCCAATAAGATCATAATTATATTTATTAATCTTAAATTTATTTATTTTAAAAAAAATATATATATATATATTATATAATTGGAATTTTTGCATATAGTAATGTAGAACTGTGCTAATATATATATATATATAAGATAACTTATACTATACTAAAATAAAAATTTCATTAAATCTATCGATTATATTCATGATCATAAAATTGTTCGAATCAAGATCATGATTGATTTTGATCGTATTAAAACTAAGGATTCATTATGAAGAATTTCTATTTAAAAAAAAAAAAAATAATTTCTATCTTCGTAGATCTTACCGCATCTAATGCAAAGCGTTTCACCGGCATTTGCTTTGCCGTTGTGTTCCTTCAAGGTAGAAAGAAATAAGGAATCCACCGCCAGGGTTGCCATATGGCGGCAGTTGGGTGTTTCGAAGTAAGTACCGATCGCATCTTGAGAAACGATCTGACTCGCAATGAGTCTACGTGTGGGGTCGACCAAGGTCGAATTCACGATTCTACCGATCAGACTCCGAGCTTGCCGAACAAGCTTTTGCTCCTTCTTCTCTCTGTTATGTATTCGAAACCCTATCGATATAATTACCTGTTACTTGAAAGTTTTCCTAACTGATTGCACACATCGAAAGTATCATTTAATTAACGAATTCATTATCTCATTAACAGAAGTTACACGATGGAGAGTAGCTTCTGCGGATGTGATCAAGGTGTCCTCGCTGGATTACATCTTGATACAAATCATTTGAAAGCTATTGGACAAGACTTTTGTCAGGCATTAGCTATGATGAAAGATGCTGACGAAGATTGGAATGTTGACAAGTAAGTGTCGTTTAATAAATCGATATATATATATATATATATATATATATATATATATATATATATACATATATATTATTTCTATATTATTATCGAAACGGCCTTTTTTTTTCTAATAAAATTTTTATTATATGTATCAACTTGATTCAATTTAATAAAAGCAAAAGACAAAGAGAATAATGAAAAGTGACAATCTGAACTCCAGACTGATAGTTCGATGATAAAAGAAATTGAATAATATCGATTTGATTCAATCAATGCAATGAAGAAAAAAAAAACAAAATAAACAAATAAATAAATAAAAAAAAAGGAATGAAAACTAAGATTACGATGTAATAGTTCCATGCTAAAATTTCTTCTTACATTATTATAATTATAATATATTTGTTATTTGACTCAATAACAGATTTGAGAAAATAGATTTAGCCAATGTCTGTCGCAATTTTATGAATTAGATATTTAAAACTTATTACTGTCGATCGAGTTAGATGAAATTATGAGGGATCAGATTGTTGTTGAACACAGATACATCGAAGAGTCCTGCTGTCAACGAAAATGTATCCAACGAAAAATGAGAAGAAAGCCTAAATGCATTCAGGACAAACTTGCCATACATCATATCAGTGGGATTCCTTAGCGAAGGGAAATGTAATTATCGATTGAAAATCGTGATGATGCACGTTTATGTATGCTTGTTTTCTTTTCTTTTTATCTTTTTCTTTCTTTCTTTCTTTCTCTTTTTTTTTCTTTTTCTTTTTTTTTTTTTTGTTTTCTAACAAGAATTCGCTTTAGGATCTAAAGAAGATGAAAAGCTTCATTTTGGGATCTATCTAATTTGATTGACTGGCCTATAACAACTAATCACTTTTAATTAATCTTTCGAACTAGTACTCGTGTTTGTTTCTAAATTATTTGTCATATGACATTTCATTAATTCGTTTCCCCTTTCTTTTGTCTGTTTTTTGTAGAATTCCAATGGGAGAAACGATACCTGAAGAATCAGGATGCATGGAGGACGATGTATCCTCCAGTTGTGATTCGGACGAGTCTGATTTGGAGACCTAAAGATTCTCTTTCCATCTCTGTTTGGAAGATTTGCGAATCGAACATTTACTTGTCAGAAGATAAATTTATTAACCGTTGATGTTTGGAATATACGCTGATTCTGGTTCCGAATCCGGGCACACACGAAATTATTATTTTTGTGAAAAAGATTTATTGAAAAATCGTAACAAATGGTTAAAATCGTTTACAACTTATTTACTATCTACATTCTAGGCGAGATAAGTTTGTTATATTGAGTATCAACAAAATCACAAGAAAAAAGATAATGATGAGAAATAAATAGAAAGGATTGGTTTGATTTATCCTTTACATTATTTAAATTAAAAAAAAAAAAAAAAAAAAAACAAATGAGAACATCTTACGTTACGATGTTATTGATGAATTTACAATAATTTTTTCCTTTTTTCTTTTTGTATTTTTCTTTTTTTTTTTTTTTTTTTTTTTTTTTTCCTGAAGAAAGTCGAACTCAAATATCTCGGAACCAGAATTTAAAAATGGAATATTCTTCGTGTTACACTAACATTATCCTCTTTTTTACGATTTTTCTATGTCATTTAAAAAAATGTGATTCATTAAAATCTTATTTGACAAATCACAGCCAATTAATATATTGAATCAAACACGAAGAACAATCCAATTATATTAAGTCTACGAGAGTTAATCGAAAGCGAAAGTACATAATGATTGTTCGAATGAACAAATTATTTGACAATATCTTTGGTAGGAATTTTCAAATATAATGGATAACGTACATGCGATTAGCTAAAACATCTAATCTACTTTGAGTACTAGAATAACATGAAGATGATCGCTCGCACTCTCGCATTCTCTCGCTGTACCTCGCTATCAGATACTTACATGTGATAAATTTAATAGAAGAAAAAAAAAAATAATAATAATAATAAAATAATAAAATGAAATAAAAGTGAAAAATAAAGGAAAACAAAAAAAAGACCCATGAAATGAATCCAAACGTCAAGTCAAATCCTAGGATTACGTGGAACGATGACTATTCTATTTAGGTAATAAATCGTGTGTTGTTATATACTCAACGTCGCTCCGAAAAAAATTGTTTAATTTCCCTTTTTTTTTTTTTTGGATTTTTTGTTTTCTTTTTTTTATTTGTTTTTTTTTGTTTTTTTTTTGTTTTTTTTCTTTTCTTTTTTGGTTAAATTGTTTCTCATTCGCCTTAATATGAATAAGATCGCACGAATATTATACAGAGAACATCACTCGCTTGTTACCAAGTGTAACAAATTCTGGTTATTATTGTGTTAATTGCTTTAATACAAGCGGTATACATGATAGTGCTCTACGGTATAACGATTATTATTAATATAGTTATAGATATATTTTTCCTTTTTTTTTTCTTTCTTTTCGTGCTCACGTTAATTACGCGTCCAAAGTGATAATAAAAAAAAATGTATATATATATATATATATATATATATATATATATATATATATATCTAACGCGCGCTATGTCGTACACGTGCATGCAAAAGAGACGTTTTTTATAAATAGAGATATATATAAAAAAAAAAAAAAGAATATTAAACGTGAACATTTTTGAAAAATAATTACTAATAATCACGCTATAGATATTATTCGTGAATATCGGATTTGCGAGAATGCGAAAAACGGCAAGTTATACACGAATAAAAGCGAGCGACCTAAAGGTAAGATAAGAATTTGAAAAGTTTCTTCCTTTTTTCTTTTTTTTGTGCTTCTTTTCTCAAATTCATGCATACGCTCAGAAGAAAAAGGATAGTTCGGCCAGCGATCTATCATTAAATATACGTGATAAGAGAAATAATGTTTGGCGTTAAAGACAAGATTTGTTTAAAGCAGGTGGCAATTAAATAAGTAGCAATTTTTCATTCTTTTGTTTTCGTTTCTTTGTTTTTTTTTTTCAACTTACTAAAATCGATTTATACTTTGTCATCGAACGCTAATCATGAAAATAATCATCAATCGCTACGAAAATCTTCTTCAATGGTTTGGAGAAAGCAATAAGCACGGTTTTTCGATCTATCCTTAATCGATATTAAAAAAAAAAAAAAAGAGAAAAAAAAAGAAAAAATAAATAAATTAATAATATGATAAAAAGAAACTACAAAATATTGAAATCAATATACTATGTAATATTATACTTTGAAGAAATTCTTTCTCTCGATCGATAAAAAATATTTGTATATTTAAATATACTGCGCGCCAATGAGAAAGAGATACGTTACTGATCTCAATTAAATATGTAATCGATAAACGATTCCATTTTTTTTTGCATATGTACCTACACTCGATAAAGCAGTTTATTATCGATCGATAATGTAGGAAACTAGATGACGACGAATAGTCGATAACTTATCTTTTAAAACTCGAACTATAGAAAATTCACGATCGAGAATCTAAGAAAAATTGTGCCCCTGTATGAAGATTAATTGACGAAAACGAGACTGCTTTACATATTCTCAATTCAATAAGAAACAAGATAGATCGTTCGCGATGACATTTTAAGAACTCATCGATCGACACGACTGAAGAATTTTCAAACGTGAAAATTCCTATATTTCACGGTCACAATAGGATTGGCAAATATATCAAAATAATGACAGAATATTATTGTCTTTATGGCGCGTAACAATGTGTAACGTTTATCGTTAAAACCTATTTTTCGCTGGCACTTGAATTTTCCTAGAAATTTCTAAAGCCGATCAATAGCCAAAATCTATGCATATATTAGTGTCTAAAATCCGACAGATTTTGCGACGATCGTACGTATGTCCCAATATATATATTGAAAATCATTTCAATTTTAGTAATTTAACCATACACACACACACATATATATATATATAATAAACGAAAAAGAGATAATTCTGATCGAATTTTCGCAAGCAAAAAATGACGGAATTTAGTATTTATCAGCATTTAATAGTATACAACAATTTTTCTAACGAAATAAGAAAGAATTATATAATTAATTTCGAAAGGAAACTTAATTAAGTTTTCGATTGATATTAATTTTGAATTTGACCATATGAAATATTCCATTACGTACGATCGGTATATATTTAAACAAAGAAATTATATTAAGAATAAAGTGAAGGAGATTAGGATGATGAGTTTAGCAAGAGAAAAAGTACGATAGTCAATTGATAGTGGAGAGTCGATATAGAACAAGAAGCAACGCCGAATTCTATAAGAACAATGACACTCATGCTAATAGGAGAATATACCACAGAAAGTGGTGCGAGAAACAACGATAATTCAAACTACATTATCAATCTCCACATCAATGGCAATCGACTTGAATCTCATAATTTTATGATATTTTAAAGGATTAAATTAAATCGTCTTGTCTTTGTCAAGATAAGACGATTTATTTATTCGTGGCCGTAGATTTTCTTCGCATGTTTCTTGATTTGCTCGTAGGTAACCCAAAGCATGATGTTCCATGATACCAATCGTGTAAAGCTTGGGACGAAACCCTTGTAAAAAGCAGCGGGCCCTTCTTGAACGAACATTTTGACTGCACATTCAACTGCACCCTTGTATTCGCCAGGTGAGCTGTTCATATAGCGAGTTTTGACGACGTCGACTGGGCTAGCAGCTAGAGTGGTGCAAAGTCCAGCAGCTGTGGCAGCTGATAAATGACAAGGGATACCATCTTGAAGATAACCAGAGCCAATGATCATGTCCTTGATGATGTCGTAGCAAACGATCTCAGCAACGTTTACAATAACGTTCCGAGAGATGTTTGGCATGGTACCTTTTAAAAAAAGGAAACAAAATGATCTTTTTAATTATTTATCATTTATTAATTTTCCTTTCTTATTTATTAGATTATTTCTATCGAATAGTTTTAATTATTACTTTTCCAACATGTTTTTATTATATATATATATATATATATACACACGTGATATAATTGTAAATTTTCATAAACGAAGCTAAGATCCTTGATTATAGCACAGAGCAAAATTCAAATTAAAATTCTTTCGTATTTTACTTTTTTGAACTGTTTAAAGAATCAGTCTAACTTGTTCAATTCTTGAAGCAAATTTTTTTTACAAATGTTTAATTAAAATAGTAAAGAAAAATATGCTCGTTCTCTTGTCTAACATTAAAATTTAAAAAACGTGTTAAATTTGGAAAAAGATAGTCAATTGAAAAAAAAATACCTTTCCAAAGACCTCGAGTTCCTTCGACACTGGCAATATTTTTATAAGCCTGAAGAGTTGAGCTGTATCTTACTGATGAACGTCCATTGTTACCGGCTTGAAGACGAACCTTAACGACGTCAGTCGGTTGAGCAAAGAGCACTGCCAAAGCACCGGTTGTGATACCGGCCATAACACGAACACCAATGTTCATCGAACCGCTCCTGTTATTTCCTGTCGGTAAAGAAATTTCCTACAATGAGAAATCTTATATCGCGAGGAACGCAAATGTTTTTTTTTTTGGTGAACGAATTTAAAGAAGAGAAGAAGAAAAAAAAAACCCTCAAAATACATGTTAAAGGACATAGAGATATTAGGATTTAGTGTACGCATCATTCGCGTTTTACAACTATTTTCTTTCTTTTTTTTTTTTTCTCTTCAATTTTCTATGCAGTTGTTTGATCATTAGTTAAAGTCAGAGGATTTAGTTAATAATGTTAATCAATTAGATTACTGACATGTTTCTATTTGTTGATGAATTTGTCTGTCTTCTTTTTTTTTTTCTTTTCTTTTTATTCTTTTTCCTTTTTTTTTTCTTTTTTTCTTTTTTTTTTTTTTCCTTTCTTTTGCTTCGAGTCAATTAAAAAAAAATTCCATGAACACGCGTCGAATGTTTGAAATGACGTTAACGAGAAAAGAGAATCTTCGACCGTAGAGATAAACCGACGATCTTTTTACTTTTTTTCTTTTTTTCTTTTTTTCTTTTTTTCTTTTTTTCTTTTTTTCTTTTTTTTTGTACTTTCTCTTTCTTTTCAACGATACGAACAATTCGATTAATTTAATTAAACTGATAAAAATTTTGTGTCAATTCTATGCGAGAATAACTAAAGTGATAAGATTTCGATTATACGTACGTGAATTCATTTGAAAAAACGTAAATTAGGATTAAATCAATTCAATATTTAAATATTATTTGATTAGAATCAAGTAGGATTTATAAAAAAAAAAAAAAACGTACGATATAGTTTGATAAGATAATTTTCTTTTTTTTTTCTTTCCTACCATCGACAACTCCCTCCCTTTTTCACTTGTTTTTTTTTTTTTTTTTTTTTTTTTTTTTAATAAATTCGTTCTCCTTTTTGACGAAGAGAAGGACGACGATGTGACGAAGACAACGACGACAATGTGACGAAATTTCTCTTTTCGAGAAATCCAATGCTCGCGAAATATTACATAAACAATTTATATATTAATTTTTTCATCTCTCTCTCTCTCTCCCTCTCTCTCTCTCTCTCTCTCTCTCTCTCTCTCTCTCTCTCTCTCTTTCGATGCATATATGTCGTGTATATACGTATATTTTCAATCATGTGAGACAATAAATTTATTATCCTTTGACAGGAAGAATTAATTTATTTAATTAATTAATCAATCAATTAGAGTAGCATAATAGAGTAGACTGTTGTAGCAGATCAAATATATAGTATTGTTATCATAAGTATTTGTCTTTGTAATGCAGTGTGTGTCTGTGTTTGTGTGCGTAAAAAATATTTGAGCTTTATCTTATAGTTTTGTAATATTTATATACATAGTGAAGAAATATGTTCTAATAAATCTGGCTCAAAAAATTATTTCTTTTCGTAATCAATAAATATTTATTTCAATCGACGAAAACGACATCACGAATTAATTCAGACATCAAAAGATTTCGATTAATCGATTTTAATGAATCGACAGTAATTAAAGAAAATTAATTCCAATGTATTATATTACCATATAGTTCTATCCATATTTATCATCGCATATATTAAAACGAATCAATAATATTAATTAATTAACACGAAAATCTAATGGATTTCGTAAAAACGAGAAAAATAATTTCACGAGACCAAATTTTTTAGAAACCATTTGTTTCTAATTCATTCGAATTAATACCTTACTCCACCATATCAAATAAACTCAATTAGTTTGTAACACACCTAATAATAATTTATAAGTGATTGGTATATGTTCAATTGTGTATGTATGTGTACGTGTATGTATGTATGTATGTATGTATGTATGTATGTATGTATGTATGTATGTATGTATGTATGTATGTATGTATGTTTGTTTGTTTGTGTTTGTATACGTGTTAGTGTTTGTTAAATGATGGAGATGAAGATGTAGTACCCGTACGTACTTAGGCGTGCGCGTTTGCGCACCCTCGTAAGAATTATATATCAAAAGTTAGGAGTTTGTTGGATGTACCGTCGATGATTCCAGCGTAGAGTGACTTCACGCTGTCGTAGAGGCCCAACCGTACGCTGGCGAAACACATCTGTCTCTGGAGTCCCGCGGACAGACCTCCGTACAGGCTCCTGTAACCACCCTCGCTCAAGCTCACCGCCCTCAAAATTTACCCTCAAACGTTTCCCCGGGTGTGAAAAATGTCATTTTTTCCTTTCGTCTCTCTTTTCTCTCTCTCTCCCTCTCCCTCTCCCTCTCTCTCTCTCTCTCTCTCTCTCTCTTACTGTTTCTGTCTGTCTCTCTCTCTCTCTGTCTCTCTCTCTATTTCTCTCTCTTTCTCTCATTTTGTCTACCTATGTCCCTCTTATTTTTCTTTTTTTTCTTTTTTAAACCCACATCTCCCTTATTTTCTTTTTTCTTCTTTTTTTTTTCATTTTATTGATTTATTGATTTATTTATTTATTATTTATTTATTTTTTTTTTTTTTATTAAAATTCAGAAATTTTTCTTTTTCAAAATAGATAAAAATAGGCAGGAAAAATATTATTCGTACATTCGACTATCTTTTCTTTATTCTATCTTTCTTTATTGTCTTATTTTCTTTTTTTTTTTTTTTTTCTTATTATCATGTTATTCTATTTAATTACTCTTCTCCTTTGACTTTTCTTTTTGTTTTCTTTAAATACTAGATCAATAGAGTCTCCGTTAAGAAATGATAATTATTATTGTTGAGCAATTAATTTTGATCAGCGTAATCAACTTCAATTAACGTAATCAATTATAATGGAAAAAATGGAACATAATTTAATATAAATCTAGTATTAATGATATATATTTATATTTATATATATATATATATATATATATATATATATTATTTCTTTTTTGTTAGAAAAAAATTATATACATTATTTTAACACAATGCTAAATATTAATTCTCATATTAAAGCCAATATATTGAAACAATTATTAATTGATAATTTACTTATTGTATATTATTTTCTTTTTATTTTCTTTATGATTTCTTTTTCTTTTTATATTTTATTACGACTATATTATTATTATTAGGAGAACTAGGTGGACGTACGCGAGAGAAAAGAGGACGGCCCGAGAGCCGCGTGGTATCATCGAGAGAGAGCTTGTGCCGAGAGCTGGACTAACTTGTCTCGTATAAGAGCAAAACGCGTTGAAAGCTCAACCAAAGAAGAAAAGAATGCCGGTCTGGCATTCGCAAAAGTAAACTGCAGTTAGGCAAAATAAATATAACTCACAGAAAAAGAGTACGTGCGAGATTTGAAATGAAAAAAGGAAGGAAAAGAAAAGAAAAGAAAAGAAAAGAAAAGAAAAGAAAAGAAAAGAAAAGTAGAGTAAAGAATGAAACGGCAAAGAAAAGAACAGCACAGCAAAGAATTCAAAATGTAGAATTTCATGCGTTTGTTCGATCGGGCGAGAGTTGCTTTTTTTTTATTTTTTTTTATTTTATTTTTTTTTTTTTTTTTTTTAAGAAAAGAAAAAAAAAGGAAAGAGAGAAAATAAGATTGCTACGTTATCTATATTTCATTTTAAACGAATCTCATTCCTAAATTGTTCGTCAAAAATTATAATAATAATTAATACTCGTATTAATTAACATTACTCATCTCTATTAACACTTTAATCATAATACATTTGTATTGTAAATAATAAATGATTTATACTGTAAATTTTGTGCGTTTCTTTTTTAACTTGCATTTATAATAAAAAATAAAAAATTACATTCTTTAATCATGAAAAAGCAACTTTCGCGTGAAAGAATAATCGAACGAACATTGTCAAAAAGTGTGCCAATAAATGTCGTTCCTAGTCGCTTTCATTCTCTTTGATTTTTTTTATTATCATATTGTTATCAGACAATTGATTAGATTTTTCATAGTTATTAAGAAGGAACACTCGTTGTTGGCACATGAACAGAGAGGTTTAAGTGGTTTAATAAGAGTTTAAAAAGAAATGAATATTGAAAAAAAAAAAACAAAAAAAAAACGGATAACTTAAATCGAAGAAAAAAGCGATCGAACGAGTCGACGAGCATTATCACTTTCGAGTACTTTGTAATTTGCCGATCGAAGCTCGCAATTGTTCTTTTTTTCTCTTTTTTCTTTTTTTTTTTCTTTATATTTTGCTTCAAGTAAACTTCGAATCGATCTCCGTCGTTGCTACCAATTATAATAATTATTCTCTCTTCATGCACACTCGGCCTAACTATAGTAATACTATAATAATGATTTGATAAAAATAAATCTGCAAAAGAAATTCTATATTTTATTTGTTAATTAAATTTTTACCGTATTCTTTTTTCCTTCTAATATGATGATGATTAAAATAAAAAAAAAAAAAAGGACATCTTTGCAAAGTAAGAAATTTATGTAATGACATTAATAATAAGTATAATTAGACCGTTTGTGGAACTTGGCAGTAACGAAGGGATCGATCGTATTACAACGATAATTGAAAAGTTTTGAACGTCTACGAGCCATCGACTCGAGAAATTTTCAAAATTCTTGCATTATTTTCATTGAAGCGAGAGAATTATATATTTTTTCTTTTTTTTTTTTTCTTTTAAATTCATTTTTCCTTTTCTTTTCTTTTTTTTTTTTCTTTTTTTTTATCGGCGAATAGGCCGTAAATGCAGTGAGTTAATCGTTTGAATTGATCGTTTAAACGATAAATATAAGAGTCGATCGAATTACGAAACAAAATGGTCGGCTAGTTTGTATATCGCATTTACTATATGATAAATAAATATATAGTATATATATATATATATATATATATATATATATATTTATATATATATATATAAATTGAATCATTTTACCTACCCCTTTTAATCAAGTGAAAATTATGAATAGGATCTTAGACAACGTACCTTGCTCCTTCAACCCTGACGATGTTCCCCATTGTCTCCAAAAGTCCTGGCTGACTCGCTCTCATTGCTAGCATCGGACCTTCCGTCGATGCCAGCAATATAGTTCGTCCTTCGCCAGCGATCTGACAAAAAAGAAAAGAGGAAAAAAATTCATTTAAAAATTAATTTCGTACAAAAATCAATTCATTGAAATTTTTTGACAATTCAATGTATTAACGTCAATAATAAATAACACAAATATATAAAATTATTTTAATAATTATATATATATATATATATATATATATAAATAATAATATACTATAATAAAATAATTAATGTATTTAATACATTATTGAATTAAGATATTATTTAAATTAAATAATTAGCATTGATATTATAATAACAAATATAAAATTAAATTTATTTTGATGATCGTAAGTTTTGTTATACAATAATAAATAAAAATTAAATTGTATATGTACCTGCATTCTGACTTTGGCCGTGTCCAAAGGAAACGTAGCTAAATCAGCAATGCAAGCCGCAGTGCCAGCTGTCAGTAGCTTCAAACCAATATTCAAATCTTCCGATGATCCTTGCTTCATGATGTTATCCTTTTTGTCTCTTCTTTCTTTCTTTTTTTTTCTTTTTTTTTTTTTTATTCTCTTTGACCTTTTATCTTTCGAAGAGTAGGCAGGGAAATGTGTGGGAGGAAAAAAGTGATATATCGATCGAATTAATTGTTGATACTTTGCGTGCTTTGTTGCCGATGACAAAGATTATTGTGCGATTGTTTACACTTTATTTTCTTCTTTTATTTTTCTTTTTTCTTTTTCTTCTTCTTTTTTTTCAAACCCGCGTGACGTCTCTTCAATTATTTTCCTTCGTAGCAATTCGACTCGTCCGATGTTGAATTCCGATTTTATTAGACAAGCGATCTTATGTACACTATATACAAGGTGGTCCTACCAGAGGACAAGAAACTTCAGATGTTCATGAATGGGATAGTGGGTTTTTTTAGAGATAAAACTCTTTAGGTTCCCTGAAGTGATCAGGATAAGCGTGCAGTCCTCTCGACTGCGAGCACTCGTGTTTGATTTCCTTGTTGTTAAGTACTTTATACATACTATTCTCCTGTATAAACAAAAAATAGATTTTTTTCTTTGGCTTATATTCTATATACACATTAATGTCAATTTTCTTTTTATATCATGCCATTATTAATCTTAAATGATATAAGACGATATTAATGAGCAATATAATATCATTGCAAAATTAACGTTGTCTTATAATACGAAAGTTTTTTAATTCATGATTAATATAATATTATTTTTAAAGATTAACTTGAAGTGTCATTATACATTGTCAATTTATACAATGATAAATTTGCTTATAATGTATCGATGTATTACGAATTCATTTTAAGTTTTGCGATATATGAGTTTCCGGGTTTTTCAATTTTTTGATGATTCACATTATAACTATCTCACGTTAATTAATAAATTGACATACTAACGAGATGTAACCCGAACTTGCATGGTATAAAACATCGTTTTCTGACTATTAAGCTTGAAAATAGAATGACTTTTGGAAATGAGCCAATTAGAATGACGGAAATGGAAAATACTCTATCTCCATCTCTTTATCTCTCTCTCTCTCTCTCTCTCTCTCTCTCTCTCTCTCTCTCTCTCTCTCTCTATCTCTCTCTCTCTTTTTATCTCTCTTTCTCTCTCTTTCTCTCTCTCTCTCCTTCTCTTTTTATTTAATTATCTCTGTAATAATCGATCATTGATAAAAATTTCCATTTTTAATCATTCTTTAATCAATCTCTATAATAATAAATTTATTTTTCATCCAGATATCTCGATAAAAAGAATTGATAAAGTTAATAAATTGTAGTGGCATGAAACAACTGAGACGTATAATCCTACACGTGTGGAAGTGTTATCGATTAATCAAGTCCAAGTTCGCGATTTCACGAATCATTGATCTTGAGAACGTTTGAGCGTCGAGAAAGTAGTAATTAAAAGTATTAAACATTTTTTATTGTTACTTTGAAATTCTCTGATTGTAAGTAATAGAAATAACGTTGATAATATATTTTATATATTAACGGTGTATCTTTATTGGATCATTTTTATTTTTATTTTCTAATTATCTTTTCATATTTATTTAAACAAAAAATATTTCTTTTTTCAAATTGTAATTAAAGTTACCTATGAAAATAAAGTATGTGTAAATTATATAAAAATGAAAGTATTTGAAATTAATTAACAATACATGCATATAATATGAATAAGTAATTTTCTTTTTAGTCATAATTCGTATCTTTTTAACGAGAAAAATTTTTGGTCGATACATCATCGAAAAAAAAAAAACAAAGGAAAAACGCGAACAATAAAAATATTTTCAGCATCAGCCGACCGGCTGATACGCAAAAGAAAATAAAAAAAGAAAGAAAAGAAAGAAGCCAAGTTCAAAGTCCATTCAGATTTAATATCAGTCAATGATCTCGTTTTTAACTTATTTTTGAGTAAATTTAATTTCTTCTAGGTTGACCTCATAAAGGAAGATCAACACTTGATTTGATTTTAATTTACCGTTAAAAAACTTGGTATTTTTCCTTCTTTACTTTCATCTTTTATCTTACGTATATAACAGCTAACAGTGACTCTCAATCGCGTTTAAAACGATAATCTCTGATTGATCAAATCGATAAAAAAAAATTTATATTTGCAATAACGATCATTATGATCCTATTATATTAGAAACTATAATATTATAAAAATAATAAAATTGTATGAAAGAATTATATATGATGATATTTAATATTTGCAAAGATTGAAAACCACTGAAGTGACCTTCGATCAATGATTTCTATTCTAAAGTTCAATTCGCATGTACGGTTATACAACGTCATCATGCTAACTGTCGACTTTATTTATAATACTAATATATTTATATAAGCAATAAAATAGACAATAGCATGAGAATGGCGAAAGTTCATCAGCGTTTATAATTCGGCCACTATTTATTTTATTTTGCACGTATCTATGTGTATTCTTATGTCAAATGATTGGTAAATGATTAATAAAAATGATTAACGGATGCAAAATAATCAAATTTTAAACATGAATGTGAAATGTGCAATATGAAACTTTACAATTGATTAGAATTTATTAATTTATTCAATTATTTCGGATTAATTAATTAATTGTAAATTGCAATAATGTCAAATGTAAAATATAAATTTTATAATATAGTGTCGTAATTAAGGAATGACTATGCATAGTTTAATCAATTAGGATAATTTGCAGGATAATGCGACGAAGCACCGAAAAAAGAAAGGAAATAAATATTTACATTTAACAAAATACAATGAAATATCAGAAGGTTATAAACTTATAACCTGATGAAGATCGATAGAAGTTCTTGAATATTCAAAGCTTGTCCTTTCTAATGGTAATAGAAAGTGTTCTCTGTGACGCGCAGTCTCTGATCTTATCCTTGCGCATGCAAGGATAAAACTAATATGATATAGTGCTATTATATTGATTAGACACTTGCTGATACCGGAAATGTTAACAGGAAGTAAATGAACTAACCAAAAAAAAAAAAAAAGAACATTTATCATTTATCTTATCTTCAAAAAAAAAAGTCAAACTAGATTCGTGATAAATAAAAAATGAACGAATAAAAACAAAAACAAAAAAAGAAAATAAATAAATAAAACAGAAAAGAAAAAATATTATTCGGATATATATATTTATATATATTAATAATGTTGGAGCTACTATAGTTCCATTTGTGGATAATTTAGATTATAGCTAGTTCAAGTTCAATGTCAAACTATTCACGTATATTTTCATCTATAAATTATCGACTCTTTCGAAAGATATTCTTGTGTCTTCTTTCAATGGACAAAATTTGTTTCATATTTGTGCAATCTCTTTCTCTCTCTCTCTCTCTCTCTCTCTCTCTTTTTCTTTCTCTTTCTCTCTCTCTCTGTCTGTCTGTCTGTCTGTCTGTCTGTCTATATTTCCCTTTCTTTGTCTGTCTATTCCTAGCAAATCGATGCGGTCTTTCTGGTGCGTTCGCGCATATGCACTGCAGCTTCGGCTTACTGGATTGCATCAACTTAGAATTTTTACATCCTCGTCAAGAGATAATAAAAATTATTAAATTGTTTTGATATTATCTTCTTACCTTTTCTTTTTTCTTTCTTTTTTTTTTTTATATTTCCTTATCAAGTACTTGATATACGTTGTAAGAATGTGCAGCTCGATAATTGTAAACGATAGAATGTATTTCATTTATTATTTTTCTTATTTTTCTTTTATTTCTTTTCTTTCAAATTGTTGAACGATCAATAAAATTTGTTTGCATGGAAATATATCTATAGATAAATATGTGTTTACACACATGCATATGTGTGCGTTGGCTATACATAAAAGGGTTCCGTAATTACTGGTAGAAATGGCATGAGACATCGATCTTTTTGTCACGTTATATTATTTAGATATGGCAAGAAATAAAAAGGCATATGTCACCAAGGTCTTACTTCTTTAGTGTAATTTTCCTATTCCTAATATCTTGTTTGTTTTGTTTGTTTATTCTTTTTTTTTTTTTTCTTTTTTTCTTTTATCAAATACCAAAAAATAAAGAAAAATATCTTTTTCTATTCGCATGTTATATGACTTTAATCTTGCTAGTTAAGAAATATTATGTTTCAAGGTCATCTTATCATTTGACAGCTCTTTTATCAAATAGGTATAATAAAGTCGAATTAATTTGATTCTCGTAAAACTATGAATATGAATATGAATTCATGCAATTTGTTGTTCTTGTTATTGTTGTTGTTGTTGCTATTATTGTTTGTTTTGTTATTGTTATTGTTATTGTTGTTGTTATTATTATTGTTTGTTTTCTTTTGCTTGATTGTTTTATATAATAAATTATAAATTAATCATGAAAAAAGAAGTAATGAAATAATGAGCAAATGAAATATGTCTTTTGTTGAAAGGTACTTACCAAGTGTACAGTGAGTGAGTAACAACACAACTGAAGCCGGTTACCGTGAAAGCATCGCTTATACCGGTCTGTCGACCAATAGGGAAACTTCGGGTTCAGCGTCGACCAATCATATTCTGCGAATGACGTCAACACGGACCAAAGAAAGCTCAACTTGCGGGACGATCGATACTTTCTAGGAACGTTATGACTTGATGTACCTTTACCCGCAACGTATATAGGGTGTTAAAAAAATTTTTAAAGTATACAGTAGTCACTCAATTTAATACAAGGCGCTTAATTAACGTTAGTTGGAAAAATTAATTATTCATAAATAACTTTGTATTTTTTGCATTAGCAAAATAATTCACTTGTTTCTTATCATTATACATTAGACAAATAAAATATTACTAAAAAGTAATAGAATCTGATGTGTAACGTGTTAATAGACACAAAAACTTAATAACGATTCCATGATGAACGTTATTATCAAGTAATTTCTTATTGACGATTAAAAATGAGCTTATACCATATTATCTGTCATTTTTATTTGAAATATCTCTTTTTTAACATCTTGTATATAACATATATAGAAAAATATTATTAAAGGTGCAGCACCCTTTGAAATCAACGACGTTAGGTTAAGAGCAACGTACGGTCCTGAAAATCTAAGAACTGACGTGTTGCACGATAAAAATTTATTTTCTTATATTTTATGAAATTTTAAAATTATACACTGCAAGGAAAAAAAAATATTAATGTAATTGCAATAAACTGTAAAAGAGTTTTGTTCCTAATCAATATCATCGCATAATTTTTTTCCAAGAGGTTTTCGCATGCGCTGATATATATATATATATATATATATATATATATATATATATATATATATGTATGCATATGCAAAAGGAAATAGCGATTTGTAAGAAATGACCGTGACTTTTGATGGAATTCAAGGAAAATTGTTAGTATGATCCTTAAAAACAACAGAGTTATATCGATTTTATTATTATAATATTTTCCAACTCTTGGAAATGCGATATAAATGTTCAAGCTTCTTTTTTTTTTTTTTTATAAATCAAAATTTTAACTTACGATTAGAATTCTATTCTTAATTCAAGAGAAAATCAAATGTTATTTAAAAAAAAATATTTTTGTCAATTGAGACTATTATATTATAAATGAAATCATTTTAATTGTTTCAAGTATACAACTTATGTGAATAATAATTGTTTAATACTAATGAACAAAATTCTGCTTTATATTAATTTTAATTACCGATTAAGTATAATAAAGCTGATGATATAATGATATATATATATATTATTGAAAAAAAGGAAAAAAAAAATTTGGCCCATGGGGGGATCGAACCCGCGACCTTCGCGTTATTAGCACGACGCTCTAACCAACTGAGCTAATAGGCCAGATGTTAACTTCGTGTTTTATCATGTATATAACCAAAAATTAATATATTTTTACTATTGTAATCATATAAAAAAATTTTTATTTTATATATATCATAAATAATTTTTAATATATAAAGATTACCAACGAATAATTTATATACAAAATAAATTTTTCCTTGAAATAATTTAACGATAAAATTTTTCTTAGAATTCAATCACGTCTACGTCATTGCACTTTGTATTCATCAAATTTTTCCATATCATTGTGAAGCAATCAATAATATTGATTAGCCTTAATCGTAATTCCTTTAAGAATAGACTTTGACTGGACCGTCCAAGTACCAGAAGTTAAAAGAGGTTAAACGCGTGTGTTCGGTGTTATGTGTTTCTGTCACATCGTTTAATTGAAAGCAATTTCAAACAGGAATGACAATAAAGTTATCAGTTTGTAAAGAAAATCCTTAAAAGAATAACGCAAAAAATATTTTAAGGAAGGAAAAAGAAAAGAGAACAAAGAGAAATATATATTCTAAATTAAATGTTATATTTTGTAACTTCAACGATAGATAAGAACAAAATTTCAACTACAAGCGTAACAGAGAAATACTGTTCTTATCATACATTTATCGTATCGATATATGTATGTTATTTGTAAATTATACCCTAATCTCTCTTTTTAAGTCTCTTCGATATATACCCTCTTCTTTGCTTCGTATCCTAATCACTGTTTGCAAATCATTTTATATAACAACGTTTAATGACGATGTATTAGATACGTTCTTAATTTTAAAATGTGGAAGGAAATCAACAATTTTACTACAACTCGGATGCAATTCAAAAAAAAAAAAAAAACCCGATATCTTTGTATAAAAAAAATGATTATTTACCTTTTGATCGAGAGAAACTTTGTGATTATCGAAACTTTTTTTTTTTATCGATTCAAAATTGATTACAAAAATTTAATAAATTTTTCTTTATTTAATAATATAATGGAAAATCTTCGAATGGTTTTTTTTTTTACAAACGATTAAATTAATTGTTACAAGCAAATCATGCAGTTTCGTTTTTAATCGAAGGACTTATCCATCGCGAATGTCCTCTTGCTCATTATTTATTAAAACTCTCAAATATCATCCATGAATATTAATGTCAAAGTGTAAATAATTATAAACGCGTACAAAAACAAGAAAATCCTATTCTGATCTAATAAATAAATCAAAAAACAAGATATCATTCACGAGTAAATCTTCGAAGGAAAGTTACTCGTGGTCATTCAATGTTCTTCTATTTAATTAATTACAATCAATCAAGTGCCGAAATTCGAAACATTCGTCTTCAGTACCACGTTTGACTGACCGGAGGGATTTAAAAATTCACTTACTACTTAAGAAGTTTTGTAATGACTCCAAAACACTCGTTCACGATTTAAGTAGAAATTGAGGATAGATAGATTCGTAGCTTGTTGAAAATGAGATCCTCTTCAATGATACACTGATTCTAATTCCCGATAGTTGTTTATTAACGAACGGTCATTGAATTTACTTCGCGAAACTCTACTGTTTTTTTTATAAATACAATCTGTGCGATTGTTAAAAAAGCAAAATACTTTTCGAACAAACACTGACTCTGGATTGCACGTAGTCGAAGCAAAAAATACTTGTTGTTTAAATCGCAAAACGCGAATGAACAAATACTGTTTTTCACGATATTCTTCTTTTAGCGATAGAATCGCTCGATTATTTCATTGCAATCGCGTGCGAAACAAAAAAAAAATAAAAACGAAATTATTAGTATCATTGTTATAATAAGAAAACGTTAAAAATATTAAAGAAATGTTTGATATAACAATGTACTTACTTTAAGTATCCATTGATACATGTACTATGAGCATCCTGCTACAAAATGATGTAGAACGTTAACGAAAATAAGAAATTAACAATGAGTTTCTTTTTTGCGATAGAAATTGTTTTTTGTGCCGAACAACACCAACTACCCTTCGCGATTTTCGTCTTTTTATTTCATTGATACAACACTCGATTACTTTATTTCTAAAACAGAGAAAAAAAAACAGAAACAGAATTATTAATATCATTGTTATAGTAAACTATAGATAATTTTTTTGTTATCGCTATTGATACTGATTCTATTTCGCGATTGATTTTATTTTATTATTCGTACAAGTTCTAATTCTATCAACCCTGTAACAAGTATATTATACGAAAAGTTAAATATTCAAAAGAATCATTTATTTTAATTTCCTTATTGTTTAAATTTTAACAGGAAACTAATTGTTCGTCACATTTCAAAGTCTCTTATAAATCGTTCCTATTCATTAATGTTCATACAATCAAGTCGTTAATGGGAGCGAGTATTAAAATTTGTCTCTATTGAAATTTCAGATTAAAATTGATTTATTTCAACGTCATATACAAGGATGTTTTATGTTCGAATAAAAGTGCATTTATTTAAATAATTCATAATCAAAAAGAATTGATTACCATAAATTATTATTATTATTTAATTATTAATATTAATAGGATACACACTATTACAGTTCTATCGAGATAATTCTATCGAGTATAAAATTTCTACTCGATGAAATTTGAGATTGAAATTATTTTATTTCGACATTGTATTAACATTTATGTGATATTTCTACGAACATTTTTTTTTTACCATCGTTGAACTCTGTATTCTTTTGAATCTGTACGATATACATATATATATATGTATGTGTGTAAGCAAGTGAAAGATTATTTGTCTGCTTACCTTGGCATTGAATGCAGGAATTTTTCCAAGAAATTATATATATATATATATATATATGGTGCGGTTTATATATGTAGTAGTGCTCGATTTCGTGTATTCGCATGCATGCATGTATGCAACATTTGTCTGAAAGTAAACGTGAGTGAATTTTTTTGGACGTATATTTTCCCTATTAAATAAACGTATTTTTTCAAGAAATTTTACGGTTTCATTGTACTAGTTTTTTTCAGAACAGACATTGGTTAATAATGTTCGAAAATTATCTTTTTTCTTACTATTGTATATTCCAATTTGTTTTACTTCTTTGTTACAGTCTTTTTGAGACTGATAAGTAATTAGAACTTCTGACTACCACCGAGTCCATAATAAATATTCTAATTATTAATTATTTATTAATTTAATATTTATAGATCAACTTTTAGACAGTTATAATAAAATGTCATATTTTCTGAATATTTATAAAAGAGATTGATCATAAAAAAGATTAATGCTTTCCATTATTCGATTTATTAATTGATTGTTATTTGATTCCTGAAGTAAAAGAAAAAAAGAAAGCTACATAGGTGTACGTGTCGCATAAAGATGTGTGTATTAAGTGTATGTGTGACGAAATTTATATTAGGTATTTTAAAAAGAAAATAATTATCTATTGTTAAAACGATCGATAAGAATTTTCAATGATATTTTTCTACAATTATATGTTACATTTTACGTTAGTTTTTCAATAAAATGTTCAGAGAAATTAATATATTTATTAGCAAATAATATATCTAAGATAATGCAATGCGCATGCGTCGCACGAATTGTTTAACCATCTTCACGATGTAGATGACGCTATTAGTGTGTCAGTTTGTACCAGACAGGTCCGTAGTGTCCTCGTTAATTACAGGTAATTAACAGATTTTATCTAATGTACATCCTCTTTCTATATATCAATCTTTAGCTAAACACGCGATTTTCATGAGGGTCGCGTTTGCAAGTTCGGGTCATTATCGCGTTTAAAAGGTATTCGTGAAAATAAAATCGGAATTCCTTCGTGGAACTATTACGTCGTACTTCTTTCGTTTTCTTTCTTTTTTGTAATTTTCTAGCTTTATTTTCACATTATCGATATCTCATTATCTTTTCAACGATGCTTTCTCAATCAATTATTTTGCATTTATAATTATGATCGATCGATATCTTGTGTTATATATTCAATTTTCATATATTTTCATCTATATATGTATATATATAGATATTTCCTACACACACATACATACATATATACATGAATATATGTATATATATATATATACACACACATACTCACTTTTAATTTTATCCTGTACTAATATGATTTTATATTTTTCAGATTTTCAAGAATTCCACGAACTAGAAAATAAAAGTACCGAAGTAGCAAGAACAGAGTTAGTATATTTTTCTTTATGATCCTGTAGCTGAAGGACGCTAGTCATGCAATGTATATATCCGGTAAATAAATTTCTTTTTTAAATATTTCCTCAATAATCGAAAAAGGATAATAAGAAGATGAAAAGTAGAAAACATAACCTTCAAATCTATAATACGGAAGTTTG